TCATGGAGGTACGAGCAACCTCCGTGACTAAGCCAATGCGGGGCTCAGCAACCCCATTCCTCTGCGGAGAGGTCGGGAGCGTGAACATCTGGCGGATGCCGTGCTCCTCACAGTAGGCTCGCAAGAGGTCTGAGGAGAACTCACCACATCTGTCAGAGTGCAGACGCAAGACAGGAAAGTCCGACTTGAACCGCTCGCGAAGCTGGAGACGAACAGCGCAGATTCAAGGGATCAAAACAACAGAGACATCCCCCTTGCACTGCAAGGAGAAGACTGTGGCGTGTAGTCGTCGACTACCAACAGGAAGTACCACTCGTGGCCCTGTCCACGGACGCGGGCTGGGCCCCACACGTCCAGGTGGAGAGTCTGCAGTGGAGCCTCTGTGGGAGGGGACGAGGAGGAGTGAGGAGCGGCGCGCTGCCGCCCCTCGACACAAGGAATGAAGGGCGGCGCAGGCGAGGGAGGGAGGGAGGGCAGAGACCTGGGAAGACCGGAGACCAGGAGGCGAGAGTGCATGCCATGAAGGCGAGGCAAGGAGGGGTGACCAAGGCAGTGGTGCCAAAGGAGGGTCTGGTGCGATAGACGACGACACTCACAGTGGGTAGCTACCAGAGCGGACGCGTACAACTGAGGAGACAAAGGGGAGGAGTGCGACGTAGTGGTGAGGGTGTACGGACTAGATCCAGGCGCACGTGTGAATGTGGCCAGGTGGCCGCTAGTCCGAGAGCACGTGCAGATCGCCACACGCTGTCCTTCAGGAGAAAAGGTGTCAACCCAATGATCCTGAAGGACGGCGTTGCTCACCAGGTTCGTAGAGAACGAGGGGAGGTGGAGACCAGACAGCTCACCAAACGAGACCGCCGGGCATGGAAACACAGTAGTGGACTGTGCAAGCAGCGGGCCCCTAGAGGGGTCAGCCAGTGAGACAAGGACAGTTGCAGGGAGGGGAGTGATTGTGGTACTGTCGCGAAAGAAACAGCAATAAGCACTAAAATCAAGTGTAAAGGTGTGCAAGGCCTGAGCCGACGGAGTACCAAGGAGAACAGACTCACAAGCACCAAGGGCTGCAGGCTCTACACCTGGGACTATACCTAGGTCAGGCGGTACACACAAGTAGCAATCACCCTCAGCACTAACAGTCAATCCATACATGGCAGCAATAATAGCATCATTGTCAAGATCAAAGATAGGAACATCACGCCTAAGGAGATCTGCCCAAGGTGGAAACTCAGTAGCCTCAGGAAACTTGACGCGCCAAGCGTCGGTGAGCCGAGAGAAGCAGCGGTACTCCGTGTGAAAGCCGTTGCATGGGCGACCAGTGTGGGGACCTGTGGGAATGGTATAGGTGCAGCGAACAGGACCCCCAGACGCCCCATGCTGAGCATACCAGTCATGAAGCTGGTGAGGCGTGGGGGTCTGACGCTGACGATGGTGCTGCTGCGGCTGCTTCTGCTGCTGCTGCTGCTGCTGCTGCTGCTGCTGTCCCTGGCCACCGCTGGAGCTCCCCTTCTGGCCGGCTCCACTCCAGCTCCCACCACCGCTGCCACCACCGCTCCCTCCTCCCCCACTCCCGCCGCTGCCACCTCCACTGCCCCCTGCACCGCCGCCACCCCTACCACCACCTCCACCCCCACGACCACCCCCACCACCTCCACCACCCCCGCCGCCTCCACCACCACCCCCTCCGCCGCCACCTCCACCTCCCCTGCCACCCCTGCTACCCCTGGCACTGCGGCGCTTCCCACTAGGAGCAAAGCAGCCCCGACCTCCTCAGCACCAAGGTAGTCGAGAGCAGCTGCGGCAGAGGCGTAGGAGGGGGCAAGAGGGGAGGGGGAGCACCCCTCAAAGAGGGGAGTGCGAGGAGTGCCACGAGCAGCACCTACTGCGAGAATGTTCTTTTCAGCTGCTAGGAGGTGCGTCTCGAAGTCGGCGATAGTGATAGTGGTCGGGTCTAGGGCGAGAAAGTGGTCTCTGATTGAGCGAAGAGTGACAGGGTGGCGGGTGATGAGGAAGTAGAGAGTAAAGTACAACGGGGGGTGATTCTCGGCGAGGAACTCGTCTGAAAGGGCGGCACGAAAGCGAGCGTCACTAGCGCGAACAGCGATGAGGAAAACGAGGACAGGTCGGGGAACAGGTAGGGTAGCATGAGACGGCCTACGGCTGCAGTGGCTGGGGAAGAGTAGCGGGCAACTACAGCCTCATACAGTGCCTTAGCAGTCTTATGCTGACTAAAGTGCACACGCTCAGTGATCGGCAGATGGTTGCGAATAGCGAGGCGCGCAGCAGCATCACGAGTCTGCCACTGTGAGCAGTCAAGAGCGGCAGCAGTGTCAGCAGGAGCAACGGTAGTGCCAGTCACGTAATCGAACAGTGAAACTCCGTCTTTGGCATCAGTCCGAAGAAATAGTTGCAGGTCGTCGAGCCAAGTGGCAAACTCTATCGGGCGACCGTCAGGATCGAAAGCGAGGACATTGAGAGTCGCCATGAGTGCAGCGCATGTGAGAGTGGCACGTAGGTGGAAAGGCAGAGCATAGACAGGAGGAACTGCGCACAGGGCGGCAGTGGCGGCACACAAGCTGCTGAGGCGGCACGCAGGCGGGTAAGGCAGCGCGCGAGGCAGGAGCGGGCCGTGCTAGGGCGGCGGACGCGGTGCGCTGGGCAGCAGCGGGCTGAGTGGGCGGCGGACGCGGCGCGCGGGGTAGCAGCGGGCTGTGTGGGCGGCGGACGCAGCGCGCGGAGCAGCAGCGAACTGCGCGGGCGGCGGACGCAGCGCGCGAGGCAGCAGCGGGCTGCACGGGCGGCAGACGTGGCGCGCGGGGTAGCAGCGAGCTGCACGGGCGGCGGACGCGGCGCGCGGGGCAGCAGCGAGCCACGCGCAGGCTCCTAAGGCGGCGCGCGGGGCAAGACCAGGCGGCGCGCTTGGGACTAGGGCAGCGCGCAGAGACAAGGCAGAGGCGCGCGCGGGCAGCGCAGCGCAGGCACGACGTGGGGCAGCTCAGTAACCGCAACGATAGGTGGGCTGTCAGAGGTCCACTGGTGATCCCCGGTTGATCCTAGGGAAGGGTTACAAGCACGTTGGCCTGGAGGGTTATGGGCGCACTTACCCGCTACACAAACAAGCTCTTTTATCCCAATGGTCTACTGGTTGGGATTCTGACATGGTATCAGAGAGAAGGTCTCGGGTTCGAATCCTAGTGTGTGCACTTCGAGCATCCCAATGCGGGGGGGTGTCAGAGGTCTACTGGTGATCCCCGGTTGATCCTAGAGAAGGGTTACAGGCACGTTGGCTTGGGGGGTTATGGGCGCACTTACCCGCTACACAAACAAACCCTTTTATCCCAATGGTCTAGTGGTTGGGATTCTGACATGGGCCCTAAAAAAATCGGTCCTACGGACCTACTGCTCCGAATACCATGTCAGAATGCTAGGCACGAATGGATTGGACTAGGAAAGAGTTTGGTACAAATATGAAACCCTAAAGGGGCTGTACCCCATACTGGCTACCCCACTACAGCCTAAACATATATACCATATATATAATTTGACAACTCGTAATCAACAAGGGTCTCGATAATATGTTTGGTAAAAAAGGAATGGGTACGGTCACTGCAAAAGGTGTTTTCACGTGTTCAATAAAACGTTTCACGGAATCAGGCACAATCAACTACCGTCATCGCCCGGATAGAAGACAGTGTTGAATAGTAGACAAGGGTTGTCTAATATCCGGGTGTCTCTTGTAAACAGGCTAGCCTCATTATAAGACACCTATTTTTGTGTATGAGTTAAGCCAGTGTAGGGGTTAGGGGCAATTGTATAGCGAGGGGGTATCTTCTAAACGGTTCTTTGTTCATTTATACGACTTATAAGACACCCTAAACCGTCCCAAATACAAGATAACCCAAGCATTTCGAGTAGTGTATGACATAAGACATATATGTGTTATATCCGGGCGATGACGGTAGGAAAAAAATCACGCGAATGGTCACAGATAAAACTCCCGCCCAAAAAGTATCATACCCAAAACGAACCTGGATGGATGCATTTTCGGATGCATCAACCCTAAACACAATTCGCCAGGTGTTTAGGGTTGATCCATTCCCAAACCGCATCCGATTCCGATTTGGTTTTAGTTTTTCCAGCTGATTGGTTGGGCGCGACCGGGAATGGAGTTTCAAGAATTTTTGGCAGGAGTTACATGTGTGTCCATTCGCATGATTTTTTACCTGTTGTTGGTGACTGAATCCGTAACCCCACTTACCAAACCCGTCAGCAAACCCAATAGTGATCATACACGTTACTCTTTTACCATTCACGTTATCGAGTCCCATGCTACCGTATACTCCCGGACAAAACACCCCCCCATAATTGTACACCCCCGGGTAGCTTATGCGAGGTGGGTGTTATGATAGACCTCGTTTCTACTATACCCCCCTTTTTGTCTGATTTTCTATAACACCCCCCTTTTCTTACGGATTCATTATTATAGTCGTTAACAAGTAGCTGCAATACGGAAGAATATCGTGTGAATTTCTCCCTCAATGAAATTTCGCGGTACATTCATAGGCAATCTGCCGAGATTTGCCCCCTCCCACTATTTCTCTGTTGCCACGTGCAGGTGAATCGTCCGTTGCAAGTGGCAAGAGAGGTGTCACATGGCATTTTCGTGAGGGCGATGAAGTTCGAGGCCGAAACTGACATTCGCGCCTCAGGCAGTGATGCTAAAACGACCAGCAAAACACCCACATTGACTAATTGAAAAAACACTAACACTAAAATATGCCATATGTTAAGACCCGGGTATTATGTATTTTTTTCCTGTGAGGAGACCCCCCCCATTTTTTCCCTGTATTTTTAGCTATACCCTAGGGTGTTATGTCCGGGAGAATACGGTAGTTACTTGACATATTTTCCCAAAACTTAATACATAATGAAATCACACTGAACTCAACGTATGTTGTCAAGGGTGTTCTCGTCTTGGCAGTATCTTAGCTCTGTGGTAGTCATTCTATCTCGGCCAAATATCTTGCGAGTGCTCTCAGCCCAACAGGACGCATTACAACTCCGCTACCACCATCCTCACCCACATCATCACCCAACCTGTCATCCCCACCATCCCCTTCGTCCCCGTCATCAGCACGCCATCCGCCCTGGGCGCCACGCCACACACGGGCGGCGAGCAGGAGGTTGAGGCGCTGGGAGGGGTGGAAGGCGTCCCAGAAGACGTGGTGGGAGGGGCGGCGGCACAGCGTGTAGGGCGTGGGGGTGCCGTTCACCAGCGCCGTGCGCCCGCACTGCACCAACCCGTTCAGCGGTGCAGGCGCACCGCAGCACGCCTCTGGGCCGCTGGTGAAGCCTGCAGGCAGGGCGGGTGAGGGACGTGCACGGGAGGAAGGGAGAAAAGTGTTGGGAACGAGGGAATGAGCAGGGTGGGGGGTGGAGGGGCGGAGTGATAAGAGGTGAAGGAAAGAGGGAGTGACAATGACCCGATTGGCAAAAATCAGACAAGGCACGAGTGATGGGCAAGGCACGAATGATGGGCAAGGCACGAGAGTGATGGGCAAGGCACGAGAGTGATGGGCAAGGCACGAGAGTGATGGGCAAGGCACGAGAGTGATGGGCAAGGCACGAGAGTGATGGGCAAGGCACGAGAGTGATGGGCAAGGCACGAGAGTGATGGGCAAGGCACGAGAGTGATGGGCAAGGCACGAGAGTGATGGGCAAGGCACGAGTGATGGGCAAGGCACGAGAGTGATGGGCAAGGCACGAGAGTGATGGGCAGGGCACGAGCCACCTCACTACCGTCAACGTCAACGGCTATTCCAACTCCCCACGTCTCACCACTCTTCTCGCTTCAAAATGCTCATCCACCTAAATTCTCGACTGCACCACCTTCTCAGAAACCACAACCAGAAATAACATCCGAGTCACAAATGCCACCATCGGTAAAAGGACACAGAGATACCATCCCCTCCCCATCCCCTCCCCATCCCCTCCCCATCCCCTCCCCATCCATTCTCCCTCCCTCTGCACTCACCCAGGGCCTCCGGCTGGTCAACAGCGCGGACCACAAGCCCCCCAACGTCCGCCGTGAGAATGACGATGCCTGGCAGGCGAGCCTGCAGCGCGTGCAGCCCTGCAGTGAGCAGCGCGTTGTGGGCGAGCGGCACGGCGCTCAGCGGCCACGCGGAGCACGTGCGCTGCCCCAGCGCCTGCATGAGAGCGGGCGCGCATGTGATGGGCGGCAGCAGGTACACCAGGAAGCGCCGCGCGCCCATGCTGTAGAGGGCCTGAGGGGGAGAGGTGGGGGGAGGAGCACAGGAGGCAGGGGGTAGCAGCATGGGAAAAAGAAAAGGGGATGAAGTGGAGGACGCAAGAGGTGCAAAGTTCACTCCCTAGCCCCTCTCTCCCCTGTGCAGCGCGAAGCACATCCTGCCTGACAAGGAGAGCAACACAGCCGGAACACTGCGCAATGTCACCCGCCTTCATAATCCGGCTATTGCCACGCGCCCACACATGCCTCCCCCCCCTCACCTGCATCGCATTAGCCACCCCGCACGCTCCCCTGCACTGCACAACATGAACCACGTGCCCTCCCCTCCCCCCCCCCCTCTCACCTGCACGGCATCCAGGGTGCCCTGGGTGGACGCAGCCACAGTGCCTCCCAGCGTCGCTGACAACCGCCCCACCGCACCCACCCTCTCTGTCACCGACTGTGGCGGCTGGCTCACTGCCTCCTCCAATGGCAGCCCGCCACGTGTGGCCACCCTGCGCAGGCGGGCGGCTGGTCTTGTCGAGTCAGACGCGTTGTCTGCTCCAGCAGTCCGTTCGGGGGATGAGGCTGGGGGGACCATGGAGGCAGAGGCAGCAGAAGCAGCAGAGGCAGCAGAAGCAGCAGAAGCAGCAGAAGCAGCAGAAGCAGCAGAGGCGGCAGAGGGTAGGGAGGCGGATGGTAAGGGTGAGGAGTTGAAGGGAAGCGGTGGCAGGGCGGCGATGTTGGGCAGGCGTGGCAGTGAGGAGGCATTGCGGAAGCGAGGAGGGCGAGTGGCGTTGCGGGGGGGGAGGGAGGTGGGGATGTTGGGGACGAGCCCCATGTGGAGCTGCGATAGCAGGTAGAGGTAGTCGTTTGACCCCACCTGCACCACGTACAGCGCTGCCGCCATCGCCTGGCGATGGGATGGCAGGGGGAGAGGGGAGGGACGGAGATGTGCAGGACTGTGGCATAGGAGGAATGTGGGGGTGTGACAGCAGGTAGAGGTATTCGTTGACCCCGATCTCCACCACGTACAGCGCTGCTGTGCGCGCCTGTATGAAGGGGAGAGGAGAGGAAGAGGGAGGGATGGGAAAGGGAGAGGAGGGTAGACGCGAGGGTGGCGGCTAGGGAGGAATGAATAACGTGGCAAATGCGAGTAAGACATGAAGAGGACGACGAGGTGAAGGATGAAAAGGAGGCGGAGAGTGGTGCTGAAAGGCAGAGAGCAGAGAGCAGAGAGCAGAGAGGAGAGAGGAGAGAGCAGAGAGCAGAGAGGAGAGAGCAGAGAGGAGAGAGGAGAGAGGAGAGAGCAGAGAGCAGAGAGAAGAAAGCAGAGAGCAGAGAGCAGAGAGCAGAGAGCAGAGAGCAGAGAGCAGAGAGGAAGCTGTGATGTTGTGCAGATCACCCGCCACATACACTCTTGTCTGGCAGGCTCTCCTCGCTGCTGCTGCTGCTGCCGCTGCTGCCACTTCCCACACTCCCAGCGTCGCCACCATTTGACGACGTGGCAGCAGACTCGTTGCTCCCACTGCTCTGCTCGCCACTGCTCTGCTCGCCACTGCTCTGCTCGCCACTGCTCTGCTCGCCACTGCTCTGCTCGCCACTGCCCTGCCCCACCACCGCTGCATGCACTTCCCGGAACTTTCCCAGCTGGAAGGACAGCGGGAATGTCTGATAGCACACGAGAAAACAGTGGGGTGGGGGCGAGGAAGGAGGAGGAGGGGGTGGGGTTGGTGGCGGGTTGGTGTTTGCAAGTGAGGCGGAGAGGCAAGGGGTAGAATGAGAGCTGTGGGAGGCAGAGAGGGGTAGAATGAGAGCTGTGGGAGGCAGAGAGGGGTAGAATGAGAGCTGTGGGAGGCAGAGAGGGGTAGAATGAGAGCTGTGGGAGGCAGAGAGGGGTAGGAAAGCAAGGAGCGAGAGGGGTAGGAAAGCAAGGAGCGAGAGAGCACAAGTGATCCACTCCAGTGTGCCTTGCCATGCACGGAAGTGTGCGGGTGAGTAGAGCACACCCCAGCACTGCTTGCATCCCATTCCCGCCCCACTCCACTCTCTCTCCTTCTGCCTCCATGCTTCCCCACCCCACCACCCACCACGTGGTAACCAGCCCAGATCCCGACCAACCAGCCCAGATCCCGACCAACCAGCCCCTCCACTCCACTTGCGCTCCACATGGGACTGCCTCTGCGCCACCTGCCCCCACCTGGCCCCTACCTGGCCCCCACCTGGCCCCCACCTGGCCCCCACCTGGCCCCACCTGGCCCCCACCTGGCCCCCACCTGGCCCCACCTGGCCCCCACCTGGCCGGGGTTGGTAGTGTCCAGCATGCCTGCCCCCGCGCTGGCGAAGTTGAGCCCGCAAGAGGCGCTGCGCCCCGGCTGCAGCACAGGGGGCGGCGAGGGTAGCCCCAGATAGCGCGCTGGGGGGAAGTGGGGAGCAGTGAAGGATGGGGAAAAGGGGCAGTAAGCGGGGAAGGGGAAGGAAGTTGGGGAAGCGGGCAGCAAGAGGGAGGGGAGGCGGCTGTGAAAAGGTGGGCCCAGAAACGCCAAAAGCCCCCTCTGCTACCCTCACAAGCCTTCACGCCCCCAATACCTCCCCTTCGCTCCCCCCATCGCACGACCCACTGGCACTGCCACCCTCAGAAGCCTTTCGGTGAGCAGCACGCACCCAAGTAGTCGATCTGCAGGCGGCCGTCGGAGAAGCGCCCCGACGCCTGCTTGTAGTTGATGCCGTAGGGTGGCAGGTCAGCGCGCAGGAAGCGGTATGTGCCGTAGTTGTTGTTGCCCACGTCCACCAGCGAGTCCCCGAACACAAAGAGCGCTGTGATGGGCGAGCGCGTGAGATTGAGGGAGTCGAGCAGTGTTGTTGGTGTGGCTGGGTGGAGGCAGGGAGGGAAGGGGGAGGATAGATGCTTGGGGATGTGTGACAAAAGCGGCTGGCAGGCAACGAGTGGCACAACACAAGAGTGTCGGAAGGCTGTGCGCTCTGAGGGTTGCTGGATCAGAGGAGGGAGGTGCGCGTGCAGATGTGAGAGTGGAAAGCTGGGCGGCCGGAAGGGAAAAGGGAGGGAGGGCAAGGAGCAGCAGCCCTGAACGAGTAAGTACCATGGGGAGATGCCTCAAGCCACGCGCACAGCCCCTACAGGCCCACCCACTCACTCACGAGCCTTTCACTCACTCCGCCGCCCCACGCTCCCCAGCACCACCGAGCACACCGCACCCCATCCGTGCTGCCCGCACCTGAGACTGTCGTCTCGCCACCGCTGCCGGAGGGATGTCATCTCCTGCCGGAGGGATGTCATCTCCTGCCAGAGGGATGTCATCTCCTGCCGGAGGGATGTCATCTCCTGCCGGAGGGATGTCATCTCCTGCCGGAGGGATGTCATCTCCTGCCGGAGGGATGTCATCTCCTGCCGGAGGGATGTCATCTCCTGCCGGAGGGATGTCATCTCCTGCCGGAGGGATGTCATCTCCTGCCGGAGGGATGTCATCTCCTGCTTACTGCTCCTCCTCACTTCGCACGCCCCATAGACACCTCCCATGCTCCCTTCCCTTCATCTCTCGCTCGTGCCCTCCTCCCTACTTCTTTCTCAACTCCGCACTAACCAGACCTCCTCCCGCCCTCCCTCCCTCCCTCCCTCCCTCCCTCCCTCCCGCCCTCCCTCCCTCCCTCCCTCCCTCCCTCCCTCCCTCCCTCCCTCCCTCCCTCCCTCCCTCCCGCCCTCCCTCCCTCCCTCCCTCCCTCCCTCCCTCCCTCCCTCCCTCCCTCCCTCCCTCCCTCCCTCCCTCCCTCCCTCCCTCCCTCCCTCCCTCCCTCCCTCCCTCCCTCCCTCCCTCCCTCCCTCCCTCCCTCCCTCCCTCCCTCCCTCCCTCCCTCCCTCCCTCCCGCTCGCCCGCCCGTCCCACCACCAACCTTGCGAATCGCCTGGCGTTGCAGCCACGTCATCACGGCCGCGCGCGCCCACCGCCACGCGGCCCACCAGCGCCGCCGCGGCCAGTGGCACCAGCAGCAGCCGCACTGCCACTGCGCGCGCGCAGCGCTGCTCTCTCCGCGGTCGGAGCCTGTGGACCCGGCGCAAGCTGCCCCGCGCGCTGCTGGGCGCGGCAGCAGCTGCTTGCGCGCGCTGCTCCCCGCGCGCGTGCGCGTGAACCATGGCGAACCGCACAGCTGCTAGCGGCGCACGAGGGGACTGGAGGGCGGCCGGAAGAAGCGGTTCGCGAAGAGGGCGGCACTGGCTACTCGGTCGCGTGGCCTTGATCCGATCCGTGTCCTGCGCGGCCTTGTGAGAGTCCCGTGTCTCAAGAGCCAGTCCTGTGTCCTTGCAAGCAGAATCTTGGGCGACCCAGCCACGTTCAGGCCAACTTCAGGCCTGAACGCATTCAGGTCGCTTTTGAGGCCACTTGCACAGGGAAGGACAGCGCGGCGACTTGCAGGCGCTGCAGCGCGATGCCAGCAAGACATGCCGCTGCTCCGCCGCTGCTCGTTTCACTGCACCACATGGCCCCACCGCGCCTTCTATCCGTCTCCTCGCGCCCACGGCCACTGCTGCCTGAGCTCGAGCCCTAGGGGGCTGCGAGGCGCCTCCGAAGGAATCGCCGTGTGGCGGTCACGTGAAGCGACAGGCGTCGACACATCCACGGACGGGCTGGGCCCCATCGCGTGGGCAGCAGCGTATCGCGGGCGGATGAGCGCATTCCGCTTTTACCTAACCCTGGGTGTGGGGACTCGAACGCGAGGCTCTCGCGCTGTCAGGCGTCACTATCGATGAGAGTCAGTTGCTCGGACGGACAGCGCATGACTTGTGCGCGGCGAGACGAGGTGACTGGTGAGTGACTCATGGGGTGTTAGAGGGGTGTTTACTGTTCCCTTTGAACAGAACTCCCAACCCCATCCTTATGATTTCCTAGTGCCACGTGGCACTCTACCTTTCTTGCTTCTACTTTCTAATCCCACGAAGTACTTCCCAACATTCGACCTTGCATGCTAAATCATCCTTGCTTGTATCCACCAATATCAATCAATTCTCATTCAACTCTTTAATTACTCAGTTACTTCGCATATTTCGCCAACACTCTCTTTCGCCAAAGTATTCTGCCGCGTTTATCCTTGAATTAGTCTACCCCGCTAATCTTTAGCGGATTTAGGCCAGCGGGCCTAACATGGGGTGTGGGTTGTGCGAAATGTTCAGTGAAACGCAGTTGAGTGCAATTGAGTGAGCGAACGAGAATTGCACTATCGAAGCAAAAAAGTACAATGAGTGAAGGATTGAACGAAAACTAAATAGCGAAAGCTATAATGATAATGTTAACAAAATGTGGGTGAAGCGCGGCAAGCCTGGAACTGAGATTGGGACTGTGGTTAGGAAATTTCGAGGTGGAGATTCGGAGCGCTGGTAACCAGTCGAACCGTAAGGTCGACGTGCAACGTGTGAAGATGGCGGGAGGATTTGTCCAAGAGACAGTTGCGAGTGGTAACAGTGCTAACTTGTTAGAAGAATAGGAAGTTATCATCATGATTAGGGCAAGGAGGGGGGTACAAAGAAGTGTTGAGCAAAATTCTGTACCCCCTAAGGCTAAACTCACAACAGCCCAGATAACATTAAACATATAACTTGACACACCCCTAAAGGTGAAGTGGAAGATAGCCAACACAAGAAACGGTCACAAGACCAGTCAAGAGAAGAAACAAAACAAAACAAACTCAGGGTGGATCACAACGTCACCACTCATTATGAGCACAAGGCCACAAGGTCAGTTCACGAGCAGAGTTATGTATCAAAGTGAACAAGCAAGGCAGTGATCTCAACCTAGCAAGGGTAAGCATGCAGATGCAGGTAAATATAGATCACAGTACAAGCAAAGTCAGGAAATAAGGAAGTTAGGCCAAGTAGGCACAAGACCTAGCTTAGTACAAAAGCGCTGATGATGACAAGGTGGAAGTGTCCTAGTCTGAGGGTGAGGGTGCGGAGCCTGCGAATACTGCGCTTGTACAGGAGGTACTAGAGCTGTTGGGCCTGGTGGTGTTGCTGGAGGTGCTGGAGCTGGCAGTACTTCTGGAGCAGGTGCTGTAGGAGGTGACGGAGTTGGCGCTACTGGAGCTAGTGGGACTTCTCGTGGTCCTTCTGGAGCTGGGTCTGCTGGAGGTGCTGGAATTGGCGCAGCTGGAGCTGCTAGAGGTGCTACTGGGGCTGGTGGTGCTGCAGGAGTTGGAGCTGGCACTGGGGGTTCTGGTGCTGTCTCTGCTGGTTCTAGTGGTGATGCACGGTCGCGGCCGTACTTCGTTCCACTCATTCAGCAGGTTCTTGGTCTCCCGCCTTCTACTAGTCTTGCTCCTCCCTTAGAGTGCCCGCTGCCGGTTCAATTGCAGTCACATTTACAGCCCGCCTCCCCACTACCTGCTCCTTCTCCTTACACATGTCTGGCCGGAGGTCTTGCTTAGCGTCGTGATCTTGCGTCTCGCCCTGCGTCGCCTGTTCCCGCTGCTCGCACAACTCGTCGTGGTTCGCATCACCGTCCTCCTCCGGTCCCCGGCACACTCCATATGGCACTTTGTCCTTCCACTGCACCAGAGCGTGTCCCTCAGCCGTCTCCTCCTACGTCCTCCCTTCATGTCGGTCCTGCCCCGGAGTCTGACTCCCTTCGTGCTGCTAGTCCTACTGTCACGCGTCTCCTGGCGACTGTTGTCACCGACCCTTCCTTTGAGTCTACTACTGCGTCTGCTCTTGTTGCTGAGCTTGTCGACTTTGCTGCTCGCTGTCGTCTAGACTATGCCGCTAGTCTTGTTGCTGAGTCTGTCTATCCTCCGTCCGTCGGGGGTGAGTGTGCCCTTAACACAGACGTTGTTGAGGACAAGCAGGAGGAGTTCCTGTGTTTTGCTGCTGCTTTACCTCATCTTGTGTCTATGCTGCTTGCCACTGAGGGAGACCCGGATGCACGAGACATCCTGACCCCGCGCTCTTACGCAGAGGCAATAGAGTGTCAGAACATTATATAGCTTATGCTGTTATGTAGGCTATAGTGGGGTATCCCATAAGGGGTACAACCCAATTAGGGTTTTCTATTTGTACTCACTTCAGTCATAGTTAATTCATTCTCGTTCAGTTCTTCTCATGGTATCATAGCAGGTTCCCCTGTGGGAACTGCGCCTAGGGCCCACCACCTGAATTTTTTTTTCCTGCCCGAAGCGCACTCATCCCGAGTCGCGCCTCGGGCCACTCCTTCCCCGAGCCGCCCTAGCGGCCGGCCTTACCCTCGCGGCCCCGCTACCAAGTGAACGCGGCCCCGCCGCCCTACTCAGGCGGCCCTCGCCGCCCTTACTCACACGGCTCCGCCGCCTCTGATCACGCGGCCCCGCCGCCCCTGCTACGCGGCCACGCCGCCCCTGCTACGCGGCCCCGCCGCCCCTGCTACGCGGCCCCGCCGCCCCTGCTACGCGGCCCCACCGCCCCTTACTACGCGCGGCCCCGCCGTCCCTGCTACGCCGGCCCCGCCGCCCCTGCTACGCGGCCCTCGCCGCCCTTGCTCACGCGGCTCCGCCGCCCCTGATCACGCGGCCCCGCCGCCCCTGCTACGCGGCCCTGCCGCCCCTTACTACGCGCGGCCTCGTCGTCCCTGCTACGTCGGCCCCGCCGCCCCTGCTACGCGGCCCTCGCCGCCTTGCTCACGCGGCTCCGCCGCCCCTGATCACGCAGCCCCGCCGTCCCTGCTACGCCGGCCCCGCCGCCCCTATTACGCGGCCCCGCCGCCCCTGCTACGCGGCCTCGCCGCCCCTGCTACGCGGCCCCGCCGTCCCTGCTACGCGGCCCTGCCGTCCCTGCTACGCGGCCCCGCCGCCCCTGCTACGCGGCCCCGCCGTCCCTGCTACTCCGGCCCCGCCGTCCCTGCTACGCCGGCCCCGCCGTCCATGCAACACGGCCCTACCGCCCCTGCTACACGGCCCCGCCGTCCCTGCTACGCCGGCCCCGCCGCCCCTGCTACGCGGCCCAGCCGCCTCTATTCCGCGGCCCCGCCGCCCCTGCAACGCCGGCCCCGCCGCCCGTGGACTCACGGCCCAGCCGCCCCTTGCTCTCGCGCCGCCCAACCGCAGCAGCCGAGCCGCCCACCTGCAGCAGCTGAGCCGCCGGACCACCTAGCAGCAGTGCACCCGAGCCGCCCGGCAGCCGAGCCGCCCTGCACCCGAGCCGCCCTACCGCCGAGCCGCCTGGGAGCCGAGCCGCCCAGTAGCCGAGTCGCTGAGTCGCCGAGCCGCCCTTCTGCAGAGCTGCTCGACCTGCCCTGTCCGGTGAGCACAGTACCGCTGTCACTGCGTGCTCTTCCCCTACTGCTTGCACTGCTTCGCTGTCGTCGTCATGGCTACCCCTAGTGTCCTAGCTTTTGACGCTGAGGGTCGAGCCATTGACTTTGAGGTCTGGGTCGATGACCTACAGCTGTTCTTACAGTGCGATAGGGCGGACGGTCTCTCTCTCTTTGACCTCACCTCTGGCGCCTCTCCTGCCCCTGCTGCTGATGCTGACCCCACTGTTCGCTCTCAGTGGGCCACCCGCGATGCTGGTGTACGTCTTGCTGTGCGTCGTCACCTCCCTACAACTGAGCGCGCGCACTTTAGTCAGTACAAGAGTGCTCAGACCTTGTACGACGCTGTAGTTGCGCGCTACTCTTCCCCTGCCACTGCTGCACTGAGCCGCCTCATGCTACCGTTCCTCTTTCCTGACCTCACTGCCTTTCCCACTGTCGCTGACCTCCTTACGCACCTCCGGACTAGTGATGCTCGCTACCGCGCTGCCCTTCCTGCTGAGTTCTGCACCAAGAACCCCCCCCCCCCATGTACATCACTCTCTACTACGTAGTCGCACGCCTCCCTGACTCCCTTCGAGTAGTCAGGGACCACTTTCTCTCACTCTGTCCCACCACCCTCACTATCGACCTCCTCGAGAAGGCCCTCCTAGCGGCGGAGAAGAGTATCGTCGCTGTAGGAGCTTCTCATGGTGACCCTCGCACCCCCATCTTTGAGGGGTGCTCTCCTTCCCCCCTACTGCCCTCGGTTGCCTCTGCTGCTGCCGCCGACCTGCTTGGTCTTGACTCGGTCGGCGCGACGTCTGCCCCTAGTGAGAGACGCCGCTCTGGCAAGGGCAAGGGGGGCAAGGGCGCGGGTGGA